CCGAGTACGCAAGGGCAGTTTGGAGTTTGGGCGTGCGACTTGGAGATCAAGTAACTTGGAGTGCAAGCAAAGGAAGAGATTTGAAGATCAAGTTAATTAGGAGACTAGTATATTTACTTTCCTTATTGCTTTTATTTATTAGTAGTAGAAGATATTAGGAGANNAGAGATTTAGTAGAATTAGGATTTATTTTATTGCATAGAATAGGAGATCTAGTTTGATTAGGCCTAGATTTATTTTGCACCTATAAATACCCCATGTACTCTTTATAATTGGGAGTCTTGGAATGGAATAGAAAAGAACGTTTGTTCAAACCGTGTGTTGAGAGTCGTGAGATTCGATCATACAAATCGAATTGGTGAGGCTAAGACCCAAACTAGTTCAACGATTTAGAGAGGCTAAGACCCGATCTATTTCGCGAGTGAAACGAGGCTAATAACCAAGTGAACTCAAGTATCGTGAGAGAGTTAGGCTAATAACCGAGTCGATCACACCTATCGTCGAGAGCAAGGCCGTGGCGAAGCCGTGATCGAGACAAGACGAGGACACGAACATCCGATCCACCATCACACCGCCATCACGCCCTGCTGTTCGTCGAGCACCACTACAGGTCTCCATCGACTTTCTCTCTGCTGCGCGTTAACTGCAACATCCCAGCGACCATCGCTTGGCTGCCATCTCTACTCGCGAAGCTCCACAGGCAACCTCCTCTGTCAACGTTCAACTTTGGCTTTCGGGACCCGTCGAGTTCCGTCGAAGAGCCTATCGTGATCGTCGAGTTCCGTCGGGTTCTGTCAGAGCGTTAAACGAAGCCGACGAGTTCCAAACGCCGAGCCGCCATTGTCGCCACCTTCACCAGCGTTCTTTCCAAAACGCAGCAACCGTGCGCCGCCGTACATCCCGTCGACCCACTCCGGTGACCAGCAGCCTTCCGTCGAGCCCTTCAGTCGCTGCCCTCTTGTCCCGGCGAGACACGTTGAAACGTCGAGTTCGTTTGTTATTCCGTTGTTCGTTCTTCGTAGCCCCGTCCCGAGAACGGTACCCGAGTTAACCCCTCGACTTAATTATCTAGTTCGTGTTTATGTGGTAGTACTCGTATGTGTGTTACGTTGCTGATCATATGATATTCAAATTAATTACGTGCGTTCGGAATGCTTTCGTGTGTAATTAGGATATATTGTTAATATTGGGTATCAAAGTGATTGCCGTCAATTTGAAAAAATTATCGAACTGAGTTTCGAGTAATATGTTATGTGGAAATGCTGTGGATTATTGGACTTAGGATTGTCCTTGACGCAACGCCTTTTTCCTCGCGTCGTTTCGATGTGTATTGAATTAGTTATGAATTTTTGAAAAACGCGCTGCAGCCGGTTTTTGTTAAAATCACTATAAATCGTGTGTTTATCCAAACATTCTGATTTTTGGATATGTTGTAATGTTGCAATTGTAGTACTTGTGGTTAAAATTTGAGAATTTTATATGGCCTGTAGCCTTGTCAAAACTTGAAAACTAATTCTGGGCTGTTTCGTAATAAATTCATATAAAAATCGAGTTTCTGTTCGATTTTGCTAATTTTTGAATATGTTGTTTTTCTCCAGATTATCTTGCTGCTGTAAAAATTTGAAATTTAAATTCGAGCAGTAGCTATTTTAAATGATTTAATTTGATTTCTGGTCAGATTTTGAGTAAATTATTTAAAATAGTTAGGAGCATGTTAAATGGTTATCCTTTGGTGAAAATATGTATTTTTCAGCCCTTAACACTCTGTAGAAATTTGAATTGAAATAACCAAGTCCAACTCCCCTTAGCCCTATTCTTATAAAATTCGGACTAGCCTTTTTAACCGTTTTGACCCGTTTTGTGTCGAACATTTATTGCCTGCTTTTATGTGATCTATTAATTGATTTGGTAATTAATTGGTCGAGTCTAGGAGTCGTCCTAATATTCCAACTCCACAACTTCCACGAGTTCCTTAGTCGATGTTATTCGACTAAGCATAATTCTCGTTATCTGTGCAAGAGTCGAGATAGTTGCTTATGGGACTGTCTTGACTTATGTAGGTGTCTGAAGAGCAGTGTCTTGACCACCTACGACCTTCTGACTAATTACTTTATCAACCGATACCTGGTGGGTTTTGAAAAATCGTCTATGTTGTAAATGTTATTACTGTTATTATTGTTTACTTGTGGTATGATCAAAGTATGCATGTGGAACATGTAGCCTTCGATGTGAGCTGTACCGGTCGTCGAACGGTTATCCCCGTAGCTATAGAACGTACCCGATGGGTAGTCTCCTTTATTATTGTTGGCAGTAGGGCGTAAGCCTTGGCTGGTGATCCTCGTATGTAAGACCAAGGCGAAAGTTTTGGCATTCGGGGTGGATTATTGCTCTTGCTGGCCAGGCACTCGTTGTAAGGCCTTCGAGGAAGGTGTTCGGTATATAGCTCGGCAGCAGTCTATTGTTATAGGTGTGCACATGAGACCAATATTGATTATTGATAGGAGATGGGACGATTATTGATTCGTATACATGTTGCGACCATACTTAAATTGTTTTATAGTTATTGATATTAATTATTGCATAGCGGTGAGCACCTCGACTTTCCTATTGTGCTCATCCCCACCTGCTCTTCATGGATGCAGGTTAGTTTACGCGACACGGCAGAAGAGATGCGAGTGGTGGTCTTTAATTTGAATAAATGTTTCCGCTTTGAACTGAACTTGGATATTATTGCGTCGTTATTGATTATTGCTTTTCGTTACTACTGAATTATTGATTATTGATAGGGGTTATTTCCCTTGGATTATTATTATTGGATCATGATTAATTATTGAGGTTCTTATATGGATTATGAGTATTGAATATTGTTGAGTATTGAGGATGTGTTTAGTATTGATAAATGTTTGAAAATGAGTGGCGCCTCAAATATTGATATTGTTTAGAATTAAATTTGAAAAATTTATCCAGAATTTTTGCAAATAAAAGTGGGGCGTTACAGTTTGGTATCAGAGCCAGTCTGCGTTTCTATAGACTGGTTAATGTGAATTATTTGATTATGTGAATTGACCTTAAGTTATGACCACTCGCTCTCGTCGTGCTGCGCCAGCTCAGGTATGTGTACCTGAATGACTATGAGATTATTGCATATTGATTGATTATTGATTATTGGAATAAAATTAGGGTTAGGACTAATCCACCTTTAAATGAGAACTCTAGTGTTGAACTCTAGACTTCTTTTATTATTGTGCTAACTGTACGACCCATTTTCAATGTAGAATTATGGCTCGTCGTAATGCTCGCAACCGTCAGCCTACTCCATCTCCACCTCCGTCTCCATCCCCATCTCCCCCTCACCAGTAGTCTCCCAATCCAGCAGGGGCTCATCTCAAAATCATGCTCCAATTCGGGAGTCTAACTCCGCCAGAATTTCATGGGACTGAAGGGCCCGAGGCTGTGGCGGAGTGGATCCGTCAGTTAGAGCAGAACTTTGACCTCCTGCAGTGCTCTGACGAGCAGAAGGTTATTTGTGGGCGCTATATGCTTAAGGGAAGTGCCGCCTTGTGGTGGTCCGGCTATTGGAGGTTGAGGCAGGCGGAGTTTTATGTCTTGACTTGGGATCGCATGAAGGAGGTGATCATGGAGAAGTATTATCCTCAGGGTTATCGCATGAGGATGGAGCGCGCTTTCTGGAATCTTACCCAGGGGACTGGTACCGTTGAGGAGTACGAGCGGGAGTTCACCCGCATGAGCGCCTTTGCTCCACATATGGTGGACACTGACCTGAAGAAAGCTCACAAGTTCCGAGATGGGCTGAGTCAAACTCTTCGTATGCATGTTGCTAGCCAGGGAAATCTTTCCTTTGATGAGACTGTTATCCGAGCCACCCAGCTGGAGAGTTATCAGACTCTCGATACTTCTGTCCCTTCTGCTCAGCTAGTCCACCCCATTGCTTCTGCACTGCCTGGCTCTAGTTCGGGTAAGAGAAAGTTTGATTCCCGCCGTGATAACCGGAAGGGAAAGCGTGGCGGGAATGACCGTCGTGGCGGGCGCCCTGCATCTTATGATCAGAATCCGAAGTGCCCTAAGTGTGGTCGATATCATCCGGAAGAATGCCGTTTCACTCAGCGAGTTTGCTTTAACTGCATGAAGCCCGGCCATTTCTTCAGTGCTTGCCCCAAACCCCCGAGACAGCAGGCCCAACAGCAGCAGCAGCTTCCTCATCCACCTTACCCACAGCAGCAGCCCAGACAGCCCCCACCCCCAAACCAGCAGCGTGCAGGAGGCCAGGCTCGAGTCTATACCATTGCTCATGACGAGGCAGCCAACAATGCAGGTACTATGTCTGACATGATTTCCTTATTCGATGTGCCTATCTTTGCATTATGCGACACTGGGGTTACTCATTCCTTTATCTCGTCTCAATGCCTTGAGGCACTTTCTATTAGCAATGTGTGCAACTGTGATCCTCTCGAGGTTAGTCTAGCCTCGGGAAAGACTATTATCTCCAACTCTTTGATTCCTTGTCTTCCAGTCAGTATTGGTGGGTATATTTTAGAGGCTGAATGCTATGTTATTGAAATGCGGGACTTCGATGTAATCTTGGGCATGGACTGGCTCACTCGCTATCGAGCCGACATCCGGTGCCAGGAGCGTGAAGTCACTCTATTCCCCATTTCCGATCAGCCTGTTATTTTCTATGGGGTGAAGTCGAGGACTGTGCCTCGAGTCATCTCTTCGATGCAAGCTAGGAAGAGCCTTTCTAAGGGTAGCTGTCAAGGCTATCTGGTTTCTATGATATCTGAGGACGACTCTTAGAGGTCCCCGGAGAGTGTCTCTATCGTCTGCGAGTATCTCGACGTCTATCCTGATGTGTTGCCCGGAGGACCGCCCGACCGTCAAGTGGAGTTTACCATTGATCTAGTACCAGGAGCCGACCCTGTTTCTAAGGCCCCTTACCGTATGGCGCCAAAGGAGCTTCAAGAGCTCAAGGCCCAGATCCAGGAGTTGCTCAATCTTTGTTTCATTCGTCCGAGTGTTTTGCCATGGGGAGCGCCTGTCCTATTCGTGAAGAAGAAAGACGGATCGATGCGCATGTGTATTGACTATCGGGAGTTGAATGCCCTTACAGTCAAGAACAAGTATCCCCTTCCTCGCATCGAGGACCTTTTTGACCAGCTGAGGGGAGCCAGCATCTTCTCGAAGATTGACTTGCGTTCTGGCTATCATCAGCTGAAGATCCGTGAGTCTGATATTTCTAAAACTGCTTTCCGTACCCGATATGGCCATTATGAGTTCGTGGTTATGCCATTTGGACTTAGCAATGCCCAGGCCGTGTTTATGGACCTTATGAATAGGGTCTTTCATCCTTTCTTAGACCAGTTTGTCATTGTGTTTATCGACGACATCCTGGTTTATTCCCGAGATATCGACCAGCACAAGGAGCATCTGAGGATTGTGTTGGAGACTCTTCGCCGCGAGAAGTTGTATGCTAAGTTCTCGAAGTGCGAGTTTTGGCTGGATCGTGTGGCATTCCTTGGCCACATTGTGACATCGAGAGGCATTGAGGTGGATCCCAGCAAGATCGAGGCCGTGAGAAAATGGGATACGCCAAGGAGTGCAGCTGATGTTCGTAGTTTCCTGGGGTTAGCAGGATACTACCGGAGGTTTATCGAGGGCTTCTCGAAGATAGCCCAACCACTAACCAACCTTACGAAGAAAGCCGTGAGGTTCGAATGGAGTCCTAGGTGTGAGGAGAGTTTCCAGGAGTTGAAGAGGAGACTCACTACCGCGCCCGTTCTATCCATTCCCGACCCTACTTTGGAGTTCACCATCTATAGTGATGCTTCGAAGATGGGTTTGGGATGTGTTCTTATGCAGCAGGGGAGAGTCGTAGCGTATGCTTCGAGGCAGCTGAAGCCTCACGAGCAGAACTACCCCACTCATGATCTAGAGTTAGCTGCAGTCGTCCATGCCTTGAAGATTTGGCGGCACTACCTCTATGGAGGCAAGTGTGAGATTTTCACCGACCACAAGAGCCTAAAGTACATTTTCACTCAGAGGGAGCTGAATATGCGGCAGCGTAGGTGGTTGGAACTGGTCAAGGACTACGATTGCACGATTAGCTACCTTCCTGGGAAAGCTAACGTGGTAGCCGATGCCCTTAGTCGAAGGAGTTATGGCCAGTTGTCTTGTCTATTCACTGAGTAGGATGTCCTTCTTCGGGAGTTCGAGCGGCTACAGCTTGAGGTAGTGGAACCACTTTCGACAGCCAGGGGTGTGTTGACTACTTCGGTTGTAGGACCGACCCTTCGTGAGAGGATAGTCGCCCAGCAACCGAATGATCGCTTTCTTCACCGGATGAAGGAGTTGTCGGAAGCCGGTAGAGTTGGAGGATTCGTAGTTGCATCTGATGGAGCATTAGTCTTCGAGGGTAGACTATGTGTTCCGAAGGTGTGGGAGCTGCGAAAGAAGATCTTGAGAGAGGCTCATAGTGCCCCGTACACCATCCATCCTGGTAGCTCAAAGATGTATCAGGACTTGAGGAAGTCGTTTTGGTGGCGAGGCATGAAGAATCAAGTGGCGAGGTTCGTAAATGGGTGCCTGGTGTGTCAGCGAGTGAAGGCTGAGCATCAGAAACCGAGAGGGAAGTTGCAGCCACTTGAGGTCCCCTTGTGGAAGTGGGAGTGCATCACCATGGATTTCTTGGTGGGATTGCCAAGGTCGAGGGCCGGGCATGATTCCATTTGGGTGATTGTGGATCGCCTTACCAAGTCTGCTCACTTTCTGCCAGTCCGAACGACTATGACGGCTAGTCAGTATGCCGAGTTGTTCGTGGACGATATTGTCAAACTTCATGGGGTCCCTGTTGAGATCGTGTCCGATCGAGATGTGAAGTTCACTAGTCAGTTCTGGAGAACTCTGCACCGGGCCATGGGGACGAGGCTGGAGTTCAGTACAACTTTTCATCCTCAGACGGATGGTCAGTCGGAGCGGACGATCCAGTACTTGGAGGACATATTGAAGGCTGTGGTCTTGGACCGTAGCCTGACTTGGGAGAGTGCCTTGCCTTTGATGGAGCTGACTTACAACAATAGTTACCACTCCTCGATCAAGATGGCCCCATTCGAGGCTTTGTATGGACGTAAGGTCCGAACACCCTTGTACTGGGATGAGATCGGGGAGAGGAAGATTATGGGCCTGGAGTTTATTCATAGGGCCGCAGAGACAGTTGAGGCTATTCGGAAGCATATCCAGTCAGCCCAAGAAAGGCAGAAGGTCTATGCCGATCGGAAGAGGGGTGAGCACGTGTATGCCATTGGTGATCATGTATTCCTGAAGGTTTCGCCTATGAAGGGCGTGATTCGCTTCGGGAAGAAGGGGAAGCTCAAACCGCGTTATATTGGGCCATTCGAGATCCTTGCCCAAGTCGGAAACTTGGCTTATCGGCTGGCTTTACCACCTAGCTTGTCGGGAGTGCACGACGTGTTTCACGTCTCCATGTTGCGGAGATACGTGCATGATCCCACTCACGTGGTGGACTTCAGCGAACTGCAGGTTGAGCGAGACCTTACCTACGAGGAGGTACCGGTAGCTATTTTGGACCAGAAGGTCCATCAGTTGAGAAACCGGGCTGTGAGCTTGGTGAAGGTGCTTTGGAGCCGACATGGCGAGTCGGAGGCGACTTGGGAAAAGGAGGCCGAGCTTCGGAGGCGGTACCCGAACTTTGAGTTTTGAGTTCCCTTGTATTTTATTTCGCTTTCTAGATTTTCATTTTCGAATTCTGAGGACAGAATTCTTTGTAAGGTGGATAGACTGTAATACCCCGTCTTATCGTGGATTAATTGGGAATAAATATTGATTATTGTTATTATTAATTTCCTTATTAATTATTATTATTAATATTATTATTATTATTATTATTATTATTATTATTATTATTAAATGCCAAATTGCTATTATTTGTTGTTATTAGTAATATTACTATTCCTAATATTAATTGTCTAATTGTTATATTATAATTAAATAAATTATGTGTTATATATATATATATTGGTCCAGTTTTATTTCAATTTATTAATCGTGCGATTTTAACCGAGCCCGAGAAACCGATCCAATTTCTTGAAGCCGCGTTAGAACCGAGCTTTCGACCCGATGAACCGAATTTTTGACCCGGTCCGGTTTTCCTCCCTCACGTGCGTGTGTGTGTGTGTAGAATTTTCTTGCAAAACAAGAAAATAAAACCTATTTATCTAAGGTATATATATGTATATATGTATATATATATACGCACCTTCAGCAATTTCGCAGCCACACCCTCAATCTCTGCTCTCACTCTCGCCACCATCATCAACCATCTTCTATCATCGATCATCATCCTATCATCAACCATCGTCACTGTCCCGCGGCTTATCACCATCATCGAACTCCCATCGCCATCATCGTTCATACTTGCAGCAGACCATTACCACCTCTGTCAGTAATCATCGCCGCCGTGCTCCTCCGCGAACCACCGCCATCACGCCCTGCTGTTCGTCGAGCACCACTACAGGTCTCCATCGACTTTCTCTCTGCTGCGCGTTAACCGCGACATCCCAGCTACCATCGCTTGGCTGCCATCTCTACTCGCGAAGCTCCACAGGCAACCTCTTCCGTCAACGTTCAACTTCGGCTTTCTGGATTCGTCGAGTTCCGTCGAAGAGCCTATCGTGATCGTCGAGTTCCGTCGGGTTCCGTCGGAGCATTAAACGAAGCCGACGAGTTCCGGACAACGAGCTGCCATTGTCGCCACCTTCACCCACGTTCTTTCCAAAACGCAGCAACCGTGCGCCGCCGTACATCCCGTCGACCCACTCCGGCGACCAGCAGCCTTCCGTCGAGCCCTTCGGTCGCTGCCCTCTTGTCCCGGCGAGACACGTTGAGACGTCGAGTTCGTTTGTTATTCTGTTGTTCGTTCTTCGTAGCCCCGTCCCGAGAACGGTACCCGAGTTAACCCCTCGACTTAATTATCTAGTTCGTGTTTATGTGGTAGTACTCGTATGTGTGTTACGTTGTTGATCATATGATATTCAAATTAATTACGTGCGTTCGGAATGCTTTCGTGTGTAATTAGGATATATTGTTAATATTGGGTATCAAAGTGATTGCCGTCACTTTGAAAAAATTATCGAACTGAGTTTCGAGTAATATGTTATGTGGAAGTGCTGTGGATTACTGGACTTAGGATTGTCCTTGACGCAACGCCTTTGGCCTCGCGTCGTTTCGATGTGTATTGAATTAGTTATGAATTATTGAAAAACGTGCTGCAGCCGGTTTTTGTTAAAATCACTATAAATCGTGTGTTTATCCAAACATTCTGATTTTTGGATATGTTGTAATCTTGCAGTTGTAGTACTTGTGGTTAAAATTTGAGAATTTTATATGGCCTGTAGCCTTGTCAAAACTTGAAAACTAATTCTGGGCTGTTTCGTAATAAATTCATATAAAAATCGAGTTTCTGTCCGATTTTGCTAATTTTTAATATGTTGTTTTTCTCCAGATTATCTTGCTGCTGTAAAAATTTGAAATTTAAATTCGAGCAGTAGCTATTTTAAATGATTTAATTTGATTTCTGGTCAGATTTTGAGTAAATTATTTAAAATAGTTAGGAGCATGTTAAATGGTTTTTCTTTGGTGAAAATATGTATTTTTCAGCCCTTAACACTATGTAAAAATTTGAATTGAAATAACCAAGTCCAACTCCCCTTAGCCCTATTCTTATAAAATTCGGACTAGCCTTTTTAACCGTTTTGACCCGTTTTGTGTCGAACATTTATTGTCTGCTTTTATGTGATCTATTAATTGATTTGGTAGTTAATTGGTCGAGTCTAGGAGTCGTCCTAATATTCCAACTCCACAACTTCCACGAGTTCCTTAGTCGATGTTATTCGACTAAGCATAATTCTCGTTATCTGTGCAAGAGTCGAGATAGTTGCTTATGGGACTGTCTTGACTTATGTAGGTGTCTGAAAAGCAGTGTCTCGACCACCTACGACCTTCTGACTAATTGCTTTATCAACCGATACCAGGTGGGTTTTGAAAAATCGTCTATGCTGTAAATGTTATTACTGTTATTATTGTTTACTTGTGGTATGATCAAATTATGCATGTGGAACATGTAGCCTTCGATGTGAGCTGTACGGGCCGTCGAACGGTTATCCCCATAGCTATAGAACGTACCCGATGGGTAGTCTCCTTTATTATTGTTAGCAGTCAGGGCGTAAGCCTTGGCTGGTGATCCTCGTATGTAAGACCAAGGCGAAAGTTTTGGCATTCGGGGTGGATTATTGCTCCTGCTGGCCGGGCACTCGTTGTAAGGCCTTCGAGGAAGGCGTTCGGTATATAGCTCGGCAGCAGTCTATTGTTATAGGTGTGCACATGAGACCATTATTGATTATTGATAGGAGATGGGACGATTATTGATTCGTATACATGCTGCGCCCATACTTAAATTGTTTTATAGTTATTGATATTAATTATTGCATAGCGGTGAGCACCTCGACTTTCCTATTGTGCTCATCCCCACCTGCTCTTCATAGATGCAGGTTAGGTTACACGACACGGCAGAAGAGATGCGAGTGGTGGTCTTTAATTTGAATAAATGTTTCCGCTTTGAACTGAACTTGGATATTATTGCGTCGTTATTGATTATTGCTTTTCGTTACTACTGAATTATTGATTATTGATAGGGGTTATTTCCCTTGGATTATTATTATTGGATCATGATTAATTATTGAGGTTCTTATATGGATTATGAGTATTGAATATTGTTGAGTATTGAAGATGTGTTTAGTATTGATAAATGTTTGAAAATGAGTGGCGCCTCAAATATTGATATTGTTTAGAATTAAATTTGAAAAATTTATCCTGAATTTTTGCAAATAAAAGTGGGGCATTACAGCATCACCATGGACTTCTTGGTGGGATTGCCTAGATCGAGGTCCGGGTATGATTCTATTTGGGTGATCGTGGATCGACTCACGAAGTCTGCCCACTTTCTGCCAGTTCGGACGACCATGAAGGCGAGTGATTATGCCGAATTGTTCGTCAAGGATATTGTAAAGCTTCATGGGGTACCCGTGGACATTGTGTCAGATCGGGATCCAAAGTTCACGGGCCAGTTCTGGAAGACGTTGCACCTAGCCATGGTGACGA